ATTTATATATTCAAACATAATATTTATATATATATATATATATATATTATAAATTTTAATTATAGATAACAAACATGTCTTAGAATTGGACAAGTTAAAACACTAATTAATATATAAACACAAAATTTTAGGTTGAGCAAATTCTCTTTCTATTATATCTACTATGCACCCAGTGACAAACACAGGTGCACAACTGGAAGACACAGAACCGCAAAAACTAAAAGCATTACACAAACCAATTTGTAAAGCCTAGTACATATTCACATATGTACACCAACAGACAAAAAAAACACAAGCTAGTAAAGCAAAACTTACAATGGCCTTATAAAGGGCAATTTGAGGAACAGTATACTTCGTGCCTAACTTGGAATGTTCATCTGAAACAGTATTCACCACCCCATAATAAACTTGACCATCATATTGATCTATGCAGGCACGCAACTCAAAATTAGCACAACTAAGCACAGACAGTTGCGGATCAGTGCCTAGCAAAGACAAGCACAGTCAAGTCAAGGTCACAATAAAAACCCATCAAGGACAAATGAACCACAAACACCCATTTCTATTTCTATTTTCCAAAAATAAAGTATTTATTTGCAAGCAATTAATATTCAAATTCAATTCAAATCATGTCACCTTTCACCTTCAATGTTCATCCTTCCTCAATGTTGACTCAATAATCAATTAGAACCCAAGGGAGTGTTTGGTAGTAGGAAACATTTTTCATGGGAATGATTATAAATGTTAAGGAATCAAAATTTTTTACTGCATTAACTAAACGAACTAAGGTAACACAATATTTTTAACACAATAAAATATTAATTTTAACTCAGGAACGTTAGATTCTTACCTCTCCATGGGAACAATTTGGTGAGAAATTGTATGAAAAACATTCATTCCCAGAAAACCATGTTCCCTAACAATATTATTTTTTAGAAGATAAACCAAACTTAAAAAACTACCATTCTCAACTCCAGATTAAAAGTAAAAACATTCCTCCTAATGCCCCCTAACTTCAAACTAAGTTAAAAAAAAATACAACTTTTCAACAAGAAAAAGGAAACCTTATTGGTAATTGGCAACACCCGCTGAACTCATGGAGAATAACACATTTCTGGAAAGAAACAAAAAACTTGTGATGAGTCCCAAATCAAGGATTAAGTTAGCAAGAATGCCTTGGAGCCCCTCCAGGAGCCAAATGCCCTAACTACAGTCGTTAAAACACAATAAAAGAAAATAAAAATAAAAAGGAATAACATGTTCAGAGAAAACAAAAACCTAGGTTTCTTTTGGTGAATTCTTCAAACATGGAGTGCAAGTCCTTCTCCATGAGCAGGCCTCGTGACAACAAAGCTTGAATCACGACATGGTGTCTCTAGCTTAACGCGCTCGACATGATTCTTTCACAAACCCTAATGAAGATTCTGACACGGGGGAATTGCGTTGAGAAGGGAGAACAATGGTTAGGGTTTGTGAAGAGTGAAAAATGGACAACAAAATAAGCAATTTGGGAATTAGTGAAGAAGTGGAGGGTTTAGCTCTAAATTAGGGATTGGGTTTACCTCAGTAACTCACGTCATAGAGAAAAGGGAAGAAGGAAACTGTCGCGTGGGGAAGTTCATGCATTTGGTTGCGCAGAGAGAGAGGAAAAAATTAAATTACAGTAATAATAGTGGTGAGATTTCAAGAGATTGTAAATACAACTCTTAGTTTTTCTTTTAGATCTTTATACATGAGAATCCCATTTTTTTCCCACTTAGAATGTCTTCCTCGCCCTTTATATACAACTATCAAATTTGGCCTAACTTATGTCATTTTTGTTGTGTTATGTTATAGTTCATGCATTTGTTTTTTTCTTAGAGGTATCGGTTTGTAAATTTAGATAGGAAGTATTTATTGTCTTTTAGCTTTGCCTTTAGAGTTTTAATAGTAAGGAACATCTTGTAGCATGTGTGATAAGGAGTAACATGGTCACGTATGAACTCTGACTTACTCATATTGGAACTTCCTCTTAAGAGAGTATGGGTGTGTTGCTTACCCATTATGTGAGAATCTTATTTTCATGTATTTTTAGGCTCTCTTATATATGCATTCTAAAGTTAAGAACTAATGGTACCACATGCATATAGAATTAAAAGTATAAGAGCTCATGTGTCAAGTGTCTTGAGTTGTGTGTTAAAGTGTGTTCGTGATGCGTTTATTGTTGATAAAGATCAAGCTCAAATCTAAGAGTTTTGATTATTACAAATGTGTACCTAATGAGTCTCTTGTTAAGAGTGCAACTTGTATTAGTTATTTTTGCTTTGTACCTGTTTAAGCTTTGTTATTAGTGTTAAATCAATATGTTATTTTATAATCTTCGTATAAGTTGATGCTCAAGAATAACATGAATTATGTTTCAAATTGATTTGAAAAGAATTGAAGTGAAAAATGTGAAGTATTCAATTTTTACTTAAAATAATCTATTATCTTTCCTTATTTTTGAAATGCTTGGAAGTAATTTTTGGAAATGATCAATTATCTAGCAAAACAATCAATTATCTCATAGTTGGGTTTGAAAATGATCGATTATCCACAAAAATAATTGATTAAGTGTTCTTGTTGGATTCCCAGATCCACAAAGAATAAAATAATCAATTATTTTAGGTAGAAAATGTTAGACCCCAAGACTTACTGAGAAGGGAGCTTGAATTGGTGTTTGAAAACTTTTAAAGATTTTAAATCTTTATAGCACAACAAAAATATCCCCCATAAATTATGAATTCATACGCCACTCAAGAAAACACAAATCTTGAATTTGTTTCTTGATCTTTAGATATCTTTCTTTACTTTTAACCACAAAGATCAATTACTTAGTTTTCATCTAAACAGAACATTTTATGTGAATTTCAACATCACATTCAAGAATTAAAACTAAAGTAATGTAAAGAACTTAGAGAAAAAGAGATTCACATGAAAACTTTATACTGGTTCAATTTTCACATAAAGTTTCTAGTTTTCTATGATCAACCTAGATCATAGGAATTCCACTATAGATAAAATGTGATTACAATGAGGACAACTAATCAACCTAGACCCTAAGGCACTCCCATACCCTTACATGAATCCTTTGATAATCCTTTAACTAGAGATCCCTTCTCTAACTTGTAAGCTCAATAAACAATATCAAGAGATACAAATTCCTATTGAAAACTAAATAATAATAATAATAATAATAATAATAATAATAATAATAATAATAATAACAACAACAACAATAACAACAACAACAACAATAATAATAACATAGATGGAACAAATGAATCTTTCAAGCTTTTGCTTTCTCTCATAGTCTTGTTCATCTTCTTGATTGAGAAAGCATAGAAAAAATTATTGAAAACCCTTGTTTTTCTCTCTTAGAAATTCACTTTTGAACTTTAGAGATTTTTATTTTTATTTTTTTGAACTCGCTATACAAATGTTAAGTATGTTAGTTTATATAGGAAAATAATTGTGTTGATGTAATCAATTACTTTGGTCATGTAGTATATTACTTTGATCTTATTGTTGCTAAAAAAACAAAGGTGAACTACTTGTAATCAGTTACATCATCATGTAATTGGTTAAAATATAACTCTTTGTTTTTTGACTTTTACATTTTATTCCTTATTTAATCGATTATGAAATCTTGTAATTGGTTACATGAGCAACTTGGTCAGGTTTTAGAAAACTTGGTGCACCATGTAAATAAATCTGACCAAGCACAATTTTGTAACTCAAACAATAGAACTTTAATAATTATATAATCAATTACCCGGTTATATAATCGGTTACATCAAAGTATTTTTTGTTTCATGTAATCGATTACTTTTTTCTATAATCAATTACATCAAAACATTTTATGTAATTTGAAAAAACCAAATGTTTATTGTAATCGATTACTCTGCTCTATAATCAATTAGATCAAAGTAAATTAACCTTAACACATTTTAGAATGATTTACTCTTAATTGATTTTTGATTTGGTTGATTTTAAGCTTTTGAAAAACTTCTTTAACTATTTTACTTATTTTGAATATCAGGGAGATTAGCTTAGCTCATCCTAAATTTGTCCCTAACTATCTAAACAAGGCTTAATGAAAACAACTCTAAATCTACTTTATTACAATATGACACCACTTGACATTGACTTCCATCTTCAACATGAAAAGCCAAAACACAAGGATCTTCATCCTCTTCTTTAATCATTAATAGCAAATTTTGTTAATCAAATTCAAGCTCAAGTTTAAGAGTTTTGATGATTACAAATGTGTACCTAAGGAACCTCTTGTTAATAATGCAACTTGTATTGGTTGTTTTATTGTGTTGCATGTTTAAGCTTTGTGCTTAGTGTTAAATCAATAGGTTATATTATAATATCCTTATAAATCAAGGTTGATGATCAAGAATAACATGAATAACGTTTAAAATTGATTTGAAAATAATTAAAGTGAACAAATGAGGTATTGAGTTTTTAATAAAATTAATTGTTTATCTTTAAAATTAATTGATTATTTTCCTTTATTTTCAAAATGCTTGAAGCGGTTTTGGAAGTAATTGATCATCTAGCAAAATAACTAATTATTTTAGAATTGGGTTAAAAAATAATCAATTATCCATCAAAACAGTAGACTAAGTTTTTCTTGTTGGGTTTTCAGATTTACAAAAAACAACATAATCGATTATCTTTTAAAATAATAGATTTTTTAGGTAGAAAATTCTATATAATTAATTCATTTCAAAAGTCAAGTGTGACTTATGTTTAAACATCTAAGTTTAACATTGAGTTGTGAATTCTTGATAGAAGATCGTGAGAAACTGAATTTCATCAATTGAGGAGTCTTTTATCAAGAATCAAGAAAGCATGAGTCATCATCAAGGTACATGAAGATTGTAGATTTTGTGGGTTAACTTTTTCACTTGTTTTAATTGATTATGTATATCAAGTGTTACCGTTACTTTATCTTTGTTAATTCTTAAGTAGGTTTCTCAAAAGGACAAGGTTATTTGTAGTGGTTTCTATAAAGGCACTTCTTGGGGTTCAAGAAGTGGGGTTCTTCAAAACTATCAAGTAAATTGCACTGGTTGTGATTGTAAAACTTTGGAGTTTAAAGATTTAGTGAAATTCTGAATCGGGTTGATTGTGAGATTGGATGTAGGTCACCCTCTACCCCAACATACATATACAATAATTATTAAAACATATTCTCGAGGTAATAAAATCTATTGAATCAAAAGAATGATTCCACTAACATAAGAGTAGAGAATTCACATTCATAAACGTAAATCATGGTCAAATGCATAATTTACAAGAAAATGAAACATGAGTTTTCCCAAAACAAAGTAACAATAATGAAATCCTAAACTAAGCCTAACTATGCCCCGATGTCAAATATCCTATCAGAGCACGCCCAACTAAAGCCTAAGCCTCATCACCAACATTCTCATGTTGATTCACCTGCAACACAATTTAAATACATACAAAGAGCAACAAGGGAGTGAGAAACACCTCACTCAGGTTCAGGTGCATAAATAAAAGTTAGACAACACACACACAACAAACATAATACAAGGCACAAGCACAAATCACATATAAACGATACACATACATAATTAGTATCACATGTACATTCATCTATCATGCAATGATGTCATGGACTCGACTCATAAATGCATGCATGTGGCGCTAGTCACGTGTCTCATAATCACATATCATGTGGTATGCTGCCGAAGCAACATACCTGGAGTAGTCTAGGAGTACATGCCGGCTCAACTATGCACTCTCAACCAGAAGGATGTATTGTTAGGGTCTCGTTGTGATAACGAAGCCAGGCAAGATATGTCCCATGAACACAAACAGGCAGAACTAGGCCTTTCAAATCCCACTATCCCCTAGGAATCCTCCAAGATGTTTCACACTTGGAGGTCCTTCCCTAATGATGTACTCCATATCGTATCCCGTCACATAAATGCATATGATGCATGTCACACATTCACAAACTCATGGACTCAACATTTTACTCCTCAAGGAATTTCATGTCTTATCTCATTTCATCACGTTTCACATTCTCATAGTCATAGTATTCACAATAGCATGTAATTCACATCATATCTCATGTCACTTGTTCACATTTCAAATTTCTTATAATCATACTCATAAGATCATCATTTGGAGATTCTTGTCTTTATCATGCTCATAAAATACATCACTTACGTTAACACAGTAATAAGGCAATTCCCACACAATTTGTACCTTCAAACAAGACAAAATATGTAAAACATCATAAAGATCACGCCCAGCACATCCTAACTCGCGTCCGGTGCATTAAATGTCGCACCAAAAGCGGAGCATCACGCCCGATGTGTCTTGAGCGCGCTCGACGAATTAAATGTTGCGCATAAAATGGAGAAATCCGCTAAACAAAACTTTCTTGTGCTCGACTTAAAAAAATTGTACCTGGCTTAACTGTTAAGCCCGACTTAAAAAAAAATTGCGCCCGGCTTAAAAAAACTAAGAGTAGCTTAAAAGTTAAGGTCGACTTAAAAACTATGCCCGACGCTAAGAACTGTGCCCGGCGCCCCAACGCGAACATGCATTACTTAACTTCGCGAAATCTTGCGTATTTCACGACCAAACACGTAATTACAACATTCAATAGGTAAAAACACTTCAAATAACACCCAGATCACGAATCCATACTCAATT